AGGAAGGGAGCAGACCCAGAGATGAAGCAGGTCACTTCCTGTCTGACAGCAGAAGTTAAACAACCACATCATATGGCTGCGTGGTAAAGCCTTGAGTCACTTCTTAAAACGCCATCTCGTTCAGTACTGCCTGCAAACACCTGGCTCGATTCTGGACCCGGCACGAACTGGATCTGTTGTTTTATTTTGAAGTGGCTCTCAATAAGTGAACCAAATTAAACTGAAAATAAAACATTTCTCCAGGCATTCTGTAGAGCTCTTGGTGTTTTCCTTTGAACTTTGGCCGTAGAACTGGATCGTTTTCACACAACTGTGTTCGGTAAACTACGTTAGCTACTCTCGAGTTGCTCGCAGTTTCCTAAACTAAACAAAACGGACTCTTCTCTAAACAGTTGTGTACAGCGACCGATTCTAGGGAAGGGATTACATCACAATACAGGGGACGACTATACGATCTATTACAATACTCAAAGCCTGACAATATTTGCAATTTATTTAGACAACTCAGGTCGGACGCCTCCAAGACACATCCGGAGTTACGGTGAGATCTCACTGTTCCATCAGAATAAAGGCGGTAAAATTGCTGCCACCTAGTAGTCGGAGTTTGAATTGCACCTCACCAAAGATAAACGGGAAATGTTTGCATGTCAAATAAAAACAAATCTACTCACTGCTCTTAAATATTGATTCAGTGCCACAAGAGAAAATATCCTGAGATTTCAGTGCATCGATATGTTCTTACTTCCCTAAATGATACTGAGCGGAAAGGCAGCCAATGTCCAATGAAATCTCTGCTAAATCTTCAAAAAAACGTTAAGAAAATCTTCAAAATGATGTAATAAAGTCCGGCTTCTTGTTACAAAACTATAAAAACAATAAGAAAAATTTCTACACCATCTGTAAATGTAACACACGTTTGGTTATAAGTAGGATTAAAGAAAGCCGACAATGTCTGCGCACCTGTGTTGTGTATGTGTATTAAAGGGAAAATGTTAAGTATTTGTCTTGTTTAATGATGCACAAACTGCAAATTAAAAACATGCACAGACAAGCTGGAAGAAAACGTGATTAAAGTTTACCTTGGTGCCCTTGTCGGTGATTTTATCAGAGGGAAAAAGCTGCAAGAAGAGGAAAGAAAGCAAAGGCAACAGAATGAATCAGAGGAAATTTGGCCTTCCTTAGTCATCCCAGCATTCCGCTGTTATTCCACCAATAAAGCAGCGGAAAAACAAAAGGGCTTGTTCCTGGAAGGAAGCGACCTTGAGTGGGAGAGGAAAAACAAAACACCAACAAAATCACCTTCTCCACACAGTCGTCAAAAAACGCCAAACCGGTGTCCTTGTCGCTGACGAAGGTGCACTCCTCAATAAAGCGGATGAAGATCTGGGTCTTGGTGAGCTGGGAGTAGAACTTCTGATGGGCTCTGTCCCTGCTCTTCAGGAAACCTTCAGTAGGGTCAGATTAAGAGGTGATCAGATACGCAGGCTTCTGGATCAATGAGAGCAGGCTAAATGAAAGCATTTCCCAGCATTAATAAAGTTTTATTATAGCTGATGGGACGGGCATCTCTGATTGATCCAACGTTCAGGGCTGTGTGAGTGTGTGTGTGCGCGCGTTCACCTTGCAGGTCATAAAGGGAGTCCGCAGCCGTGGCCTTCTCGGATGGCGCCTGGGTGATGGGTTTGAGGTAGCACCGGTAGCCCTTCAGGATGGAGGCCATGAAACGAAGGAAGGCTTCCTGGATCTCCATCTCCAGGGCCATCTTCTTCTTGTGCCACGTGAAGTCAGCATCGATGGGGGTCAGGTCTAGTGCAGAATCCTCGTGTGGAGCCTGACGTACCGACACTGAAACACCAACCAGAGGTAGGGCGAGTTAGGAACAGTTATGGGTATCAGACTAAAGCCGGGCGTACACTGTGCGACTTTTTCACTTTTTTGAGCCGATTTTCCACTCGTGCGAGAATCCACGAGATCGGGGCGAGTGTTGCGCTGAGCGTCGTGTAGTGTACAGGTGGTTACGAGAGGCGATTAACACCACGTGACCAACTACCGACAGAGCCGTGTCCAGGACTTTTAAAATGGGGTGGCACTTGTTTATGCATGGGTGGCACCAATGGTTATGCTTATTTATTTATTTACACAAATCGTTTATTTATTTACTTTCTAGTGAATTTTGGAGTTTCACATTGCACAATCACCATTTTTTTCTATTCATATTCTAGCTTTGTGGTGGTTAGCAAGTCACTTCTTGTTGCATTATTGCCACCAACTGGAGTTGAGTGGGACTCTAAATACTATTTATGTGAATATGAAAAAATAATAAATAATATTAATACTACAGAAATGTTCTGTAGGCCTGGGCTAGAAGACAAGGTGAAAGGTTCATGCTACCACACACTATTTTTGGAGTTTACAACTCAAGCCTTTTGTCGACGATGTAAAGTCAGTTTAAACTGGAACTTAGTGGAGTGGCACCTGGGGTGGCCAATCAGATTCCAAGGGTGGCATGTGCTACCCCAGGCCACTCCCTGGACACGCCCCTGGCTACCGATCAGAAATCGTGAGCTCGCACGGACTTCTGGAGTGTTTGATATTTTGCTCGTTCCTCGTGAGGGTTGAAGCGGCGCTGCGAGCAGCTGCGACCCAAAAAGTGCTCACGGCGCATGCGCAATCATGCATCAACACCGCTCACCCGCTATTTCCCCAATAACACACGTTCGTTTTTATTCTACACGTCTTTTACACACAATGACAAGGATTGTCAAGAAAGCGTGTTTGTCGTATTCATGTCAAATTAAACCAATCACAAAACACAGATTTACTTTCTTTATTTCGTTTTCCTCATCCAACCCCCATAAATCCCTGTGTGTCCTCCTGCAGCACTCCCGAAGGACAACAGGCAAGACAAGACTAAAAAGTCTGACGTGTTGTGTAAAAACGGCTATTTCTAGCATATTTTTTAGGTCCGACGTGTTGCTACCAGACGTACAGTGTGAGCGCCTGGCTCGTGAGATCTGCTCTGCGAGGAAGTCGTACAGTTTGAGCTGAAGCTGAGTGCTACGAGTGAAAAAGTTGTACAGTGTCCGCCCGGCTCAACTAAATATACATGATTCTCTTCTATGCAGGGTATCTGCAGGTTTAAAGGAGCCAAATTTAAGACTTTTTAAGACCTTTTTTTAAGGCCACTTTGACCAAATTTAAGCTATTTTTAAAATTAAATTTAAGCTATAATTTCCAGCTATTGCCTGGACCCGGTGCCAACCACGTTGCGAAATTGGGATTAACCATCCAGTTACCATTAAACTTCCCCATGGCGCAAGCTCCCACTAGCTGAGCGGGAGCGTGAACACAGTTTTGGAGAGTTGAGTGGTACAGCTGGTCATCAGTGGGGTGGACACAGCCCTCAGCACATCTGAGAGTCTAGTGGAGCATTATCTGCCTCTTAGGGAGGAGGAAGAGGGTGAGTCAGGACAAGGAAAATAGACTGCTTACATCCAACAATGCTGTTCTTCCAGGGAGTGTTATTACACTGTAATAATTTAAAGGTTGAATCTACCAGTTAAGTGGTTCTACTAAGCCTAGCTGCTTAAATGTAAAACATAACAGTAAAGGTACTCTTAAAGTATCACGTTTGCCACTTCTCTCCCAATGGTTGAAGGTGGAATTACAGACAACACTACCAGAGCCCCCAATGAGCATAGGCTGTGCCGCTGTTCGCTGTGGTTTAGGCTCTTTGCTTCATCTCCAAAGACATTACTCATGACGCCAACACAAGTAAAATTCTTGTGCTTTTTATTGACGGCCAGTAAACTGAAAAAATGTAGCCTTAATTTTAGCCATCATTGGTAAACTCCACCCCAGTCATTGCACTATGTGCCACTAGTGTACCTAATCAAACCACAAAACTGCTATTACCGTTTCAGGCCAGCAGAGGGAGACAATGCTGTCCAATGTGAATTATCTTCAGACTCTGAAACCAGTTGAACAGCTTTGGGTAGTTTTCCAGGAGCACTACTCGGAGTAACTCAGACTGGTACAGCTCAGCCCAATCATTGTTCCAAGAGCACGGTTCGGTATTTTCACTTTATTTTCTCCCCTAATTTTAGTCCCTCTCCGTTGAGGTACCTGGCAAGACGGAGTCGTGGTTCTTACCACTGGAGCTCGTTTACGATGAGCACTATTCAGCCTAAAACAGCTCTGTACAGCATGGGTTGAGTCAGAACATCTGAGTGTGGTTTTGCTCCCATGCCCGTGCCATGACAGAAAGTGGGTGCGCCCCTTATAGGTGAGGAAGAGGAAGGGGGAACCCGTGGCACGCAGGGGTTGAGGTACCTCAACCGAGCAGGGACTGAAATTAGGGGAGAAAGGAGAGAGCAAATACTGAACCGTGTCCTTGGAAACTGCTCAGGCCAAGCTGCATCTGTCTGAGTTACTCCGAGTAGTGCTCCTGGAAAACTACCTTGATCGGCTAGGGGGCGGAGTCACTGGTTGCTCTGGAGATATCTGCCTTCTGCTTCACTGCCTGCAGCCATTTCCTGGTTCAGAGTCTGACAGGAAAGCCCGAATGTCCAGCTACTCCAACATTTCCAGCAGAGTTGTTTCTGTGGATAATACAAGTTACCTCACACCGTTTACTGATCCCCTCACACGATTTTAAGTCTATAGTAAAAAAAACGCCATCGCCGTGTTCTAAATAATCCACTGCAGTTAGTGATGCTCTGAGCAACAAGGTTTATTGGAACCAGTTGACACAAGTTTAAGTTGACTCCACATTTCATTACTTACAGTGCAACAGGGAGCTGAGATTTGGTTCTCGGCAAGCACGATCAGATTATGGATTTTCAGAATGTCAGCTTGCATTAGCCGCTTGATATTAAAACCCTCCCAGGCACACAGAGACTAGTTCAGACCGAGCGGTAGAGAACAGAAGTTTATTCATGAAGATGAATCAGTACACAAGAACAACAAGACTCCTAATTTCCCTCTGGGATTAATAAAGTTTTTTTGAATTGAATGGAATTTGAATAACTACTTCAGGCTTTCAAGCCTGCAGCTAATTTTCTCCAGAAGGAAGCCGCTTCAAAAAGATCTTCCCACACTTTCTAGAAACAGACCCTCAAATTAAGCATATCCATTTCCAACAGAAGGCACTTTAAGCATGCATGTCTCCATCTCAAAAGGCCATGTTTCTGTTCCTTGTGACAGAGCTGGAGGCCAAACCTGTGAAGGGCTCTGAAGAGGAGCCGAGCATCTACGTCCGCCTGGGCTGCCTCTCCACAAAGCTCCGCAGGAGAGCCTACGCCAGAGCCGTGGCCAGGATACGGGACGGCAAGCAGCGCAGCATGGGGATCATTTCTGAGCTCAACTCCACCATGGATGTGGTGCGTGTGCTACGCTCCTGACTTGTGAAGCTAGTGCTTCGCCCAAGCACGTGAATAACCATGGATGCCGTTTTCTCTAGATCCAATACGGCAAGAACATCCACAGTGCCAAACAGATGGTGACATGGAAGTCTGGTAGTCCAACTGAGCAGAACGGTCACCCAGCAGAGGTGATTATACACACAGAGCCAATTCAATTGTTGCTACTAGGAAAGAACCATCTGGACATCCAGATGAGCTTTCCCTCCAACATTCCAGACATCTCAAACACCACTTTCTCCACTCATGGGCTTATTTTGGACCATTTAGGGAGTTATTGAATGTGTGTTCCATCTCCTAGGTGATCGAGTCTCGTACCTTAAACCTGGCCCGCTCCCTCACTCAGCAGCTCCAGACCACCTGCCTGGTCCTAGTCTCTGGCCTGCAGGGACTTCCCAACCACATCCAGCAGGAGGCGCTGTCCTTCAGCCACTCAGCAGCACAGGTGTACTTCAGTTTCAGCAAAGCGAAGGTGCTGAGAGACCTGCCTGACAGCGTGCTATCCAGCAGCAGAGTCCAGCTGGGAAGGATGAAGGACTCCCTGGACCATGTCATGGATTACCTGGTCAACAACACGCCGCTCAACTGGCTGGTGGGTCCTTTTTACCCTCGGATGGTTTCATCTGCAGGCAGCAGCTCTCATCCATCATCATCAAGCCCCGCCTCCACTCAGATCCCCAGGGAAGAACCCATGGAGGTGGAGACTGAGTTGCTCTGTTTACCGTCCTCAACAAATTTAGATTCAGAGCTTCACTAAATGCTCCACAGTACTGAAGTGCTGGGTTCTTCTGTTCTCAGAGTTTGTGTTGATGTGATTTTTAAAATCACAATGTACCGTTTGATAACTTCTGTTTCTCTATAAAGTCGATTGAAATCATGAATTCCTGCTTGCTGTGCATTTACATTTCCACCCAACATGGCTCTCTAGGAAGTGCTTTAGATTCGTAAGTTTAGAAGGGGTTCTCTTTCCTGCAATTGTTAAAATTACAAAAACAATTCTACATATTTAATTTGAGCTTTATTTGATATTACATGACAAAAAATAAAATCATTAATAAATTCAACGATGGCAGCGACTCTGTCGTGACAAACACTCCATCAGTTTCTGGAAATCCAAAATCAAAGTTAAAATAATCACACAAGCCAACGGGTTTCCCATCAGAGAACGCTGAGGGACGAGTGGGTCAGTTACCGAGAGCTTCTGAATCTGACACCAGGCAACATCATCCAGTAGGTCCAGGTGTCATCCTTGGAGTCTTCCGAAAAGCTGAGCATCTGGAAAAGAAAGTGGACTCCTTCTAGAAACTTCCTCCATTAGAAATGCAGACTCACCAGCACTCATGCTGTGTTGAGGGGCCCCGGGGTGGAAACCTAAGCTCATTTCCAGAGCGTAAACATGACGTACCTGCCCCTGAGCCGTCGTCACGGTGACGTGTGCAGCAGATCCTGCCATGGAACAGGGCAGCTCCCCAGCAGACACAACGGACCTGTAACAAGTCTCACTTTAGTCGGGCCGGCACCACCTACAGGACACCCGTCAGCAGACTCGCCTTAGTTTAGGTTTTCTCAGGTTCATCTGCTCCTGAGTTTTACGGTTTGTCAGTCGGCTCCGAGTCCTCTTGATGGTCGTTGAGGAAGATCTGCAGAGTAATTAAACACAAGTCAAGACCTTCCATCATCCACCATCTCACAGGATTATTATGTTGTGTTACATCAGAGTTCCTGTGCTGCTGCTGCCAGCTAACACGCTGTCCCCTTTGGCCCCTCGTCCTCCCTGAAAGTAAAGGAAACCCATTTCACATCAAACCCAGCCTTTGCTAAACAAGAGTCAGCGCTAGAGCCGACATGTTTGTGCACACATCACCTTGGGAGTTTTGGAAGCGGGTCTCTGGGCTACAGGCGGTGTAGAATCAGACGATTTCACTTCAAATGAAAATAAGAATTTTTAAAATTCTGTGAAACTGTTTGCACCATTTACAGCCTCCGATTCCTTCAGATTTTGCTTTTATAACCTGAATATTTAAACAATTTCAATATCAATACAAAGATGCCCTGAACAACAAAATGCTGTTTTGCAATATTAAGAGCTATTGAAACAGACTTGGTGCTGGGAATTAGAATCAAGACATCACTCCAACAGAACTAGTTAGCTTGATAAACCGTCCTAAATATGTAGAAGTATAGTTAGCTACAACCCACTGAAACCAGCCAGTCATTAAGATGGAATTACTGGTTCTTTCAAACTGCACAACTGGACAAAACCATTAGAAGCAATGACAATTGTTAGTATTCGCTGCTACAGAAATCAAGTCAACGATGCACTCCCATCATACTCTGTACAAGAAGCTAATACATCATCTTTAAAACACTTAGAAACCTCCATCTGCTCATGTCTCAAAGAAAGTCCTGGTCTAACGCGTCTTAGGTTGATGCATACGCCGTTTCAAAACAAACCTCAAGCCATCGCCATCCTTGTCCTTTTTTTCTGTCACAGCTCTGATGCTAAGCCTGCATAAGTTTTCTCTAGTGCTGTGATTGGTCAGGCCTAAACTCAGCATAGGCTAAGCTAGCCTGCTGAGGCTAGACCATCCTGCAGAGGAAAATCTTTGTACTGCTACGGTTTGTCGAGGTTTTTGGGCTACATTCATAAAAATAGTAAATGTAGCCTAAGAGTGCAGCCCTCTGAAACATGCAACACAGACGCAGACAGACAGACAGAGCTAGATAAACATCCGCACACAATATAAAAACACAAGATGCATTTTAAAAAAAAAGTACTTACACATAAAACATTTACTTATTTCTGATTATAATCAGCCATTCTTTGGCGAATTGTCTTGTACCTCCATCTTCTGCATTAGCTTCCAATAGAATAGACAGTGAAACCATAGACATGAATATGTAGAAGCCCCATTGGGCGCAGGAAAGCTCAACAGTGTAGCCGCCATGTTGCACGGGTTCCTCAATCTCTAAACCCAACTAGGGTCAATGCAGGGTGAGCAACTGCCCGTTTTGTACAGCCTACAGTAGCAACAAGCGACGCATTATTGAAAACAGATCACGTGGGATTACTGCTGACTTTCCCAGCTTACCTGATGGGACTATGCGGTTTAATTTATTTAATCTTCGTAAATTACCTTTCATGCCAATTCCTATGTCTAGTTTCGTGAAAAAGCCTAACGTGTCTTTTTTAGCTGGGTCGACACCTTTCTCAGTAGAAGTAGGCCCAATCCCAACACTCGCATTTCAACATTTGTGTACCTTCAATTGTGCACTCCCAACTAGGGCTGCAAGTGCGTAGGGTGTCCTGATTCTCAAGTGCAGAAGTTGATCACGGCCCTTTTGCACCCTTGATCCAAACTTTAAGTCCGCATTGATGAAAACTTGAGTGAAGGGTATTACCCACAATCCATTCCTGTGGGAGAAAAGGCTCAAGTGCCTTTTGTCAAAACATGTGTTGTACGATTAAAGTATTGGTAGTTTATTTTAGGATGATTAGTTGATGCTCTGAAACCTTTAAACAAAGCAGCAATGAATGCAAATCATTTAAAATAATTGGTTAGCGTCCTGGCATGCTTTGCGGTCGAAAACGCAATAGTTCCGGTCTCAATTCGGCAAATATTTGCACACTTGTTTACCTCGCACACGAAACCTTACTGCGCACTTTCTCCAAGTGCACTTTGCTGAAGACCGCAGGGTGCACTGCGAGTATTGGGATTGCGCCACAGATGCACTTGGGGTAAATGGAGACCCATCCAAGATGGCAGCCAGCCACTAAAGCAGCTCCAATAGACAGCACCAGTCCACGGGGTGACTAGTTACATGATGTCTGTGGGTGAAACTAGGATTTGAAAATCCTGACAGATCTACATCACACCATCACTTAATATTCATGGACTCACCCATCTTGACTCATGACGGGGAAGGCTGTCGATTTATCACCCAGGAAAACGCGGGAAACGCCTTGGCTAGCAGAAGCTAACCAAGCATTAGCAACTATACAACAGTAGAACTCCAGGCAAGAGTTTATTGTGGAGATAAAACATTCACGTTGCAGAGCAATCAGATGAGACATGTCCAAATAAAAAAAATAACTCCATATCCTGCTGTATTCTCCCACTCCCCTCCAGCTGACTACATTCTCAAATAGGCACACCTCATCATTGTGATCTGCACTCGTTTGTTAACTGGCCATCACTCCATTCCCACAGGTTGTTACACTGGTATCAATTTATATACAAAACTATCAGTACAACCCTAACACTTCCAACAACCAGCACAATTTACGTTCCAGTAACCTAATATCTATGATTATTCCCAAAGCTCGCACATCCTTTGGTCGCTCCTCATTCCAGTTTGCTGCTCCCAACTTGAATGAGCTGTGAAAAATCACTGAAGCTCACTTCCTACACTCCAATACCTACCTTCAATAATTCATTGCAATCAAGTTTCTGATCAACGTACATCTGATTATGATTATATATATATATATATATATATATATATATATATATATATATATATATATATATATAAATCTTTCCTTATTTTTATCTTAGTAGTTGGTCTTTGGTGTAGAGCTAACTATGTGTCTGTTGCTGCTACCACTTAGCTAGATCGTTGTTGCAAATGAGAATGAGTTCTCAAATTGACTCATCTGGATAAATAAAGGTTAAATAATGATTGCAATGATGCCTTCAGTGTGAAATAGGCTTTCCAAGGCATTCATTCCTGCTAGAAACAAGTGCAAATGTATAAAAATAGGAGCAACCTCTTAAAAACAGAGACCCACAAGATAGAACAAAAATGTAGGTTTGGTTAAGATTTTAAACTCTGCAGGGAGATACACTCCTAAAGTTAGATTTGGTTTCATAAGGATCTTTGAGACAGTCTGAGCTTTGACCTTAAACGGGCCTTTCCGACTGTAAAAGAGGAACAATGCCCGTTATAAATTGTTAAGTAGTAGGTTTTACAAAGAACAAAGTTGGCTAGAACAGACAATTAATGGTAGTTCTTTAACTACATGATGTATTTAATCAGGCATCTTTGCTTGATACTTAAATATTTCACTATGATGTACAACCAAAACATCTGTAACTAAACAGCCACCATCTCACTGCACTGAGGATTTTTCATGCATGAATCAGTGAAGTTTGAACTCACATCTCTTGCTGGTTATCAGTCTGAAAGGTTGGTCCATTTCACGGGACTCGTTCTGCAGAAGTTCACAATTATCTCATTTATTAAAGAATGGGCCTTTAATTCCAACAGACTCACCCTGATGGCTATCGAGACTTCACTGGCTGATGCTTCCTCCTCTAAAGCAGAAAAGCAGAGTCAGATTAATAAGGAAACTGGTCTGATTTGGACCCTTTGAGAGGCTCACCGCAGATCAGATCTCCCATGAGGGTGTTCTGAAGAGAAGGAGGCATCTTCATCAGCTCCACTTTGAAGATTTTGTCCACGGTGGCCAGCATGCTCTCCAGTTTAGCCTCTAAATATCTCATCCGTTCTTGTGCTGGAGACAAGAGTTGAACCAAGCTGAAGAGCCCGTTATTGGGCATGGGAGCTTTAAATTAACCCTACCGTCTTTTTCAAACTGCTGGATGAAGAGCTCCATCCTACGCCGGCGTCTCTCCTGGCTCTGCTGCTCTTTGTCCTGCTGATTTGTCGCGGTCTTCTCCCGTCTCGCTGACATTTTGTCGTTCTACCTAGTTTTGAGTTGGGAAAATATTAGTAGCAGCAGCCCAGTTAACCCCATTTTAAATCCACACCTGCTTACAAGCGCACACCTGGACTGGAGCTAGTTTAATTACAGTATCCATCCGCTGAGCGTGAGGTGATGCAGCGGTCCATCCAGCGGAAGGATACACACCGCACC